TCTCTCAGCGGGGGCTTCAGGCAAAGTGGTCGTGCCCAAGGACATAACGACAGCAGTCATCAGTGGGTGTCGTGAAGCAGGTCTTGTGTTGGGCGCAAACCCACAACCTTCAGGCCTAAAGCCAATGCTCTACCAACTGGCACAATTTGCCCCTATTATTTTCATTGTATTAAAATCACTACATGACATACTCTTGCATTGTTTTCTTTTTCCATAAAAATGTAAAACAATTACAATAACTTTCAAATGAAGGCATAAAAGAGGTGGAAGTACTACCTACTTCAGTAAATGTAAGGTTTTTAGATGAATTGTACTTTTTGGAATGATTAATTAATAAATGTATCAGTTGTACATTTATTTAGGCCATTAAACGTATGTTAATTTGAATTTTACTTGAAGAATAGTGTTCTAACTGAAGTAAACAAAAATGTACTACCACCTGTGCACACATGCACATTCAATATAATTCTGCCAATGACATGAATAATCACAACAGAGGTCTGGTAAATATAACTGACAGTACTCAAGCAGCACAGACAAGGGAAAAATTATAGCTAGCCAAGAAAATTAGTTTTAGAAGTTTACAATACTTAGTTACTTGAAACACAGAGTTCTCCGGCAAAAACTTCAGCAAATCATTTCCATGTGCTAAGTTTGATGCAGCAAATACAATCTGGTCAATTGGAAATAAAGTCAAACTGGAAACTGGGCTGAATTCCCTGTACAGTCACAGAGTTGCATGCTGGCAACGCTCTGACACTGCTGCAGCTGATCTTTGACAACAACCTACAAGATGCATCATCAGAAACTGTGTCACTGATCAAAATTATTATCACCACACCGATGACCACAGCTGAGTCTGAGAGAAACTTTTCAACGCTAAAAAGGATAAAGGCATTTACTAGAAACACAATGGGACAGCATGGATTAAATGCATTGGCTTTGTTGTCCATTGAAAATGAATTGTCAAATGAAAATTCACAATACTGGTGTGTGCCGTTTTAAATTGAACCATTCAAAGGTTATTTTCACGGGGTTAATGTGTTAGGCTGCGCATAAAAATGGACTGTGGTCTTGAATTTGATTTATTGTGTATGTTTTGCTATTTGCGGATGTAAAGTGCACACTCTTGTGTCCCATTCAACTTTTCATGCCAGAGACGCCACTGCTGCTCACAGATTCTCGTGCTAGTTGCCAGCCTCCTCACCAGTGTTTCCTCTGCCATTTCACTCCAGCTCCTACGCCTGTTCCAGTTCCTGCCCACCCCTACCTGCTCAACTTTCATTAAGCTCCTGTCAATAAATCCTGTTAACCCGTCCTATGCATTTGGGTTGAATCCTTTTGACATAACATAGTTATTGTAGCAAGAGTTGAGGAATTGGCTGAAATATGCAAAATATCAATGGGAAAACTGAGTTACCACTGACCGCTCAATTGCATGTTTGCGCATTTTCACCAAATACTATCTTAAGTACAAAATGAAAATGCCCACTGACAGTCAGATATTTCTAATCAATACATGAATATCAATGTTAGCCTGTTGGTGCAGGTCCCGGCTCAAAAAGGTCCACGAGCATGTGGGCTGACAATACTTGCAATCTCAAGATAATTACTCAATGCTTTTATATGGTGTCTTCCTTCCTCTCAAAAACGTCTTTACAGGATGGGGGGAGTATATATTTTTGGACCACTCTAGTTTAGCTGCTGGGGACTTCAGAAGGCACTTGTTTAATGATTGGGGCTCATACCGGCTAACGCATGCGCAAATGCGTTTTTAAAACTTTTTCCTGGGGGAGGGGCTGCCCGCGGCCATTTTGAAAAAGCCCCATAGAAGGTAAAAGTGGTGGCATGTGGAGTTGCCTGAGTTTTAAGTGCATTTTTGCCGCCTTCTTGTGGTATTGCGTAATCTATTAACACCTAAGTTCTAGTTTCTCCCATTGTATTTAGGTCATTCATTTTTCACACTGACAGCCACACTGATTATATGGTGCATTGCCAAAAATCAGTTTATATTCCTAATTAACCTGTAATAGATTATAAGGCGTGGGGCGACAGTAGCTCAGTTGGTAGAGCATTGGCCTTAAGCCCAGAAGGTCGTGGGTTCAATTCCCACCTCTGCACCTTCTCCACCGACTCCCACTGATGACTGCTGTCGTTGTGTCCTTGGGCAAGACACTTAACCCCACTTTGCCCAAAGCCCCCACTGAAAGATCAAGGCTATGCTCACACTCAGAGCAGCCGTCCTCCTGTGGACTCACCACCTGCAGAGGGTCAGTGAGGGGCTGGTGCTATGAGACTTGGGTGGCATCTCTGACTGCCACCCCCCTGACCCAGAAATGGATTAAAGGGTAGAAAATGGATGGATGGATGGATGGATGGATGGATAGATTATAAGGCGCTTTATTAATGCTGTAAACTAGGGTTGCTCAATACGTTGATGGCCCTTGATTAAAGACTGTATTGGTAGATTGCGGCCAGTCAAGCCACAAAGGAATTTTTCTGACTTTTCTGACACCCCTCATGTGCAAATAGTGCCGTGGAGTCCAGTAAAACAAACAGTTGTAACCCCTTTTTTTCTTAAACTCTTAAACTAAAGAAAACAATGGATATGATAAGGACTAAAATCATATCACTGTCATAATAAATGGGAATTGGACTTTTGTTTCTAAGATGTCCTTTTCTAAGTGTGTTTGAATCATATGCAATTCAAAGGGAAACGTGGAGTGGCATTTTCGGACTGTTCATGGAAAATACAACTTCCAGCTGAAATGTATGCAAATTGATGTCTATCACCACAGACGGAGCATGGTTGGTCGCATGAATGGATTTATTGCAAAGTAAAGGGAGGAATTTTCAAATCACCATTGCAAAATCCGCCCACAGCCGTTATGTGCAAAATGGCTCAACATGAAAGAAATCATAGATGGAGCAACAAAGATTGTATGTTCTCGGGCCAGATCTCTTCAAAGACAGTTGTGACATGTGGAAAAGTTGGACTGCAACCATTCTGAGTTGTTGCTACATGCTGACGTGAGATGGTTTAGTCGAGGGAAAATCCTGCAAAGATTTTGAGAGCTCAGTCTGTAGATTAAAGAGTTAAACATGGCATCATGTTTAATGACCTTGATCTAGAGTTGCAAGGAAAAGACTAAACAGTGAACAATTTGATTAAATCAGTAAGGTCCGACATCTCTCATTAAATCTGCAGCCCCATGATTTGGCAAATTTAAAGAACCTGGTGTCAGAGCTGGAGACGCAAGGCCTGTATATTTGAAATGATATATACATTTTGCATTTTTGTAAAGTAGTTCTTGTCTGATAGGAACATAACTACGATCCTCACAGTTACCTTGGCCAACAGATTGAAAACAGTTCAGTGCAATACTGACTTCAATAGGAGGTCAAAGTGCAGGTCACCATGACCCTAAAACCCTGCGTGAGACGTCTACATCTGAGCAGCTTAGTTGATGACTGCAGAGATGTGATGTCCGTGATGAAGCATTCAGCAGACCAAACAGTTTGTAAGGGAAAATGAAGACTACCCCCAAGCACTGTCAGTATGCCACACAATCCAGACCAGTCGTACAGCTTGACAGACCAATTCCTAAATGTGTTGTGTATCAGACAAGATTAAATCGCAAATTATGTTCAATAAACGTACGATTATCACTGACTGCGAAGGTCTTTACAAGGTCTTTATGTAGACAACCTTCTGTCCGCTCAAAAGGAAGAAAATTAGTATGGCGAGTCTTCACGGATTGTGTTTGCCACTGTTCCCCATAGTTCCCCATGAGTATACTTATGGCATGTTGGTGTTGTCATAATAATCCACTTGGATGGAACTGTGGCTTGGCAGTTATCTCTCTGCTTGTTCATCTTCTGCCTTACGCAAAAGAAAAAAAACATGGGAAAATCAGTGCTTAAGCTACTGACCATGTGGTCAAGTTCATGAAGGTATGTTAGTGACATTAATAATGACTGAATGATTATTAATGTCACTGATTTCCATTTCAATGATGTCCACCTCAAAAGTAATTAAAGGGACACGACAATATTTAGGGAAATGATGTATCATTTGTGACATTTGCATGACAAAACTGCATTGTGTCGTGCACCGTGCTATTTTGAGAAGATCCACGGGTTAAAATTTTGACGGTATAGTCTTAATATTGTGAAGAGATTTCACAGAAAACCTAGGTTTTGACTGTTAAACCCTGACGTTATATTGGTGAAGATTCAACACATGAGCATTACAATTAACTTGAAGGTAATTTTCTCCTCTTCTGACGTATTGTGATGGAAGAACCAACTTTGGACGTGGTTGTAATATCAAACTGAGCACAAGCCATTCATTTGAATAGGGCGCCATCTTGGATCACCGGGGCTTGTCAGTAGCGCATGGGACTTCATGGAGACCGGGAGATTAGCTGAACTGGGCTATATTTGGGCATCGTCTGGTCCTCCCGGTTCTGCGCAGTGGATTATCTCCCATGATGCGTTGCGCTATCTCCCATGATGCGTCACGCCTGTTATGGCTTGGCTCTGAGCCACAACAAGAATAGGGGAGACGAGGCGGAATTAAAGTGCTCAAAAGTATATTTAATTGAGAGAACGGAATAACAAATATTAATATATACAAAAAGGTAAATATGGGGTGTGTTATGTAGAAGTCAGTGGTGTAGGTGCAGGTAATGCTTGTGTGCAGTGAGGGCGCCGTATGTGCGATATGAATGTAGGTGCATAAACCAAAAGACAAACTTAATAGTGCATGTTGAAGGAGAGCCAGGGAGGAGATGCAACAGGCACCAGGGCAGGAGTGGAATGGCCCTCAGGAGCGCGCAGAGAGAGCGCGTGCACCTATCCTCCAGGCTATATGCGCGTGCGCTGATTGCGTGCGCGAACACGCCCACTGCTTCAACGCCAACTGGTCCCCCTGTGCACACAGGAGACAGGAGCGGCAGGACGGAGACGCAGGAAAAGGCCCAGGCCCCCCATAAGGCCTAGCCCGTAACACCCCCCCCCTTCAGGAAAGGGCCCATAATGGGTCCTAGACAAGCCCACAGAAACAAAACTAACAGCGTTGCTTACACTTAGCAGATAGAAGAGTCCCAGGAGAAGGAACCAACCGGTCAGCATTACTTTTAACTTGATTTCGACCCCTCTCAAACTGAATTTGGCGTACCTCGCACCATTCGTTGGCCCCGGGACACGGGAATCCCACCGTGCCGTCCCGGCGTAGCATAGCACGGTGGGGACGAAGCTCCAGGCTTCCTCACGGCCTAATGCGCCCGGGAGAGCGCATCGGCCACAGCGTTGTCCCGGCCCCGGATATGCTGGATGTCCAGGCTGTAAGACTGCAGGTGGAGGGCCCAGCGCATGAGCCGCTGGTTTGGAGACTGCAGGCTACTGAGAAAGGTTAGCGGGTTATGGTCAGAAAAAACAGTCACTGTCCCTGAGCCCACATACACCCGAAAATGCTGTAAAGCCCACACAAGAGCTAACGTCTCCTTCTCGATAACCGAGTAGTTTAACTGATGTCTATTAAACTTTTTTGAGAAAAAGCAGACAGGCTTCCGAACACCCGCATCATCAGATTGAAGCAACACCGCCCCTGCCCCCACTAGGCTAGCGTCCACCTCAATTTGAAAAGGCCTATCCCATTTAGGAGCAGCCAACACTGGTGAGTTTGAAATGAGAGCTTTAACCCTCTCAAATGCCCTCTGACACAAATCAGACCAGACAAATGTAACCCTAGATTTTAACAGATTTGTCAATGGCGCCACCACAGTTGAAAAGTTGGAACAAAAGCACCTATAGTAGCCAACCATACCCAGGAACCTCATTAGCTCTTTTTTAGTAGCAGGCTGCGGAAAAATGTCAATAGCTTGAACTTTGGCTCGAACGGGTCGTACCGAGCCCTGACCAACCACTCGGCCCAAATAAATGACAGTCGCCTTGGCAAACTCACATTTAGCAAGGTTAACGGTCAAGTTAGCCCAAGACAAGCGCCCAAAAACTGCCTTTAGCCGACGTAGATGGTCATCCCAGCCATCTGAATAGACCACCACATCATCCAAATAGACAGCACACCCGTTCAGACCCCGCACCACAATATTCATCAAGCGCTGAAATGTTGCTGGCGCATTCCTCAACCCGAAAGGCATGACATTATAGGAATACAAACCAGTAGGAGTAATGAATGATGAGACCTGCTTTGCCCTGTCCGTCAATGGGACTTGCCAATACCCCTTAAGTAAGTCCAATTTGGTGACAAAGTTCGCCCCCCCCACCTGGTCCACGCAATCCTCCATACGAGGAAGGGGAAAGGAGTCAGGCTTCGTCACCGCGTTGACCTTACGAAAGTCAGTGCAAAAGCGAGGTGTATTATCTGACTTTGGGACAAGCAGACATGGCGAAGCCCAGCTGGAATCACAGGGCACTGCAATGTTATTATCAATCATATATGCCACTTCACTGTCAAGCAACTTTAGCTTATCCGGATGAACACGATAAAAGCGCTGTCTAATAGGGTTTGCATCACCCACATCAACGTCATGTTTCAGGACAGTAGTGCGCGATGGAGTATCCCCAAACAAACCAGGGAACTGACGAATCAACTGTACCAACTGTAACTGCTTAGCCGGTTCCAAATACAATAAAGAGCTTTCCAAGGTCTCCAGAAACTCCTTATTCTTAAGACGCCCAGTTACTAATGAGTCATCAGGGTCTGTCGGCTCCTCCACAACTTGCTCTGCCACAGCCACCAAAGAAACCGACAACCTCTGAGGGTGAGCCCCAGACTGAGTCACCTCACGAGCAAAATAAGGCTTAAGCAGATTTACATGACATAACTGAGTTTTAGCCCTGCGCTCAGGTGTCGAAATTAAATAGTTCAGATCTGACAATTTCTCCAACACCGTAAATGGACCAGAAAACCTAGCGTGAAAAGGAGAGGTAACTAACGGCAACAGGGCTAGGACCTGGTCACCAGGCAAGAACTCCCGCTGGACCGTGTGGCGGTCATATTGTTTCTTCATCTTAACCTGCACACCAGCTAACCGTTTTTTAGCCACCTCCTGCGCCCTGTACAACCGGTACCGGAACCCATTCACAAAATCCAGAAGGTTGCTAGGTGGATCAGACTCTATCCAGGCATCCCGCAAAAGCGCTAGAGGACCACGAACCTTATGGCTGAAAACAAGGTCATTGGGGCTAAAACCTGTACTCTCCTGTACCACCTCACGAGCGGCCAAGAGCATCCAGGGTAACGCCTCCTCCCAATCGCTTTGCATCTGCACAGAGAATGAACGCAACATTGATTTAAGAGTTTGGTGAAATCTTTCCAAAACTCCCTGACTCTGAGCATGATAAGCAGAGGAAAAATTGTGTTTAACCCTTAGCTGTCTCAAGACCTGATCAAATAACTTGGAACAAAAATTTGACCCTTGATCCGTCTGAATCACACGTGCGTGTGTGGCTTTCATGCATGCGCACAGGGGGGCTCAACCAATCAGAGCTGCTCATCAGAGCAGCGGAAGAGCGGAGCCAGAGCGGGAAGGCAAGGAGCAGAGTTTGTGGCAGTAAAGTGTGGATTAAAAGAAAACTGAAGGATTTAAGAAAAAAAAAAGTTCAGGATGACAAGGGACACTAAAATCCCCACAAAATCCAATCTTTATGAAAGCTGTAGGCTCTCTGTCAGCTGAGGTTGTGCTGGTTTAATTTACATTGAGTTCTATGGGAATTTTTCTGGGTAGCCCTCGTGAATTTAGTCTGTAGTACCACAGGCGCCCCCTGTGTCCATAGGTGGGACAGCTGTAAGCTAGTAATGCCCTATCCAGTTATTATTATAGATCCATGGTTTGTAGCAGTATGTTAGCATCTGTGCATATTAGCAGCAGTATGATTACATCTCTAAATTAGCAGCATGAGGCCTGTGACATGTTACTCAGTAAAGTGACAGTGATGCCTGTGGTTCTTGCTCTAGTTTTTTGTCAATACAAAAATTGGAATAACACTCACTTCCATTTTTATTCGATTTCTCACACCTAAACCCTTCCACACATACCCCTCTTTTCATGCAGTATCTCAGGCCCTGTCCACACGTAGCCGGGTATCTGCTAAACCAGAGATATTTTTCTTTGTTTGCACCAATCCACATGACAACGCATCATAAACGAATATATAATAAGAACTTTGGGCAAAGTGAAGATTTTTGAAAACTCTGTTTACGCATTTGCGTGTAGACAGAGATCACCTGAGTTTTCCTTTTGTGTAATGTGATTGAAAACAAAGATGTACAGTTAGGTGTGGATGAGTTTTTTTCAAAAACGGAGTAATGTGGATACAAATTATTTTAAAAACAGAGGGGGAAATATTCGGTTTTAACAATACCCGGCTACGTGTGGACATGGCCTTAGTCGAACACACCCACTCTCGGCCTTCTTGATTAGCAATTGAGGAGGCCGAAGGAACCAGCCTAAAGCTCTATACATTTTAATTATATTAGTAACATTATGCAACTATGTTTGTGGTCTTTGGTCGCTTTTTTTGGTTAGACTGTTATTGCATGCTCAGTGACGCAAAGTGTACGTATCATCTTGTCCAACTTTGGGGGATGCCATTTAAAATAACCACATGTTACTGTGAAATAATTGACCATTAAGGTGGGAATCTCACAGCTCAATCAAGGACACAGATCGCAATCAAGGCCAATGGTTATCCTGTTGGAGTAGCCTCCTCTCCGGGGGCAATCTGTACATGGGGTCAATATTAGTCATACCCTTCACAAATCTTGCATTTACGAACGAATGGTAAATAGAAAGTGTTGAAATAAGAAGCGGAAAAAAGTTCTTTGGTCAAATGACTACAGAATTGAAACTTTGGGCTAAATTCCAAAATGTTTTGTATGGCACAAAACTAACACTCTCTCTCCCTCTGTGCACCATTCCCAGAGTCAAATATGAAGGTGGCAGAATCATGTTATGGGCATGGCTTTCTTCAGCAGGGACAGGGAAGAGTGACAGAGTTGATGGCAATGTGAAGAAAACCACAGGACATTATTGGAAGATAAGCTGCTGGAGCTGGGGATTCTGCATAGTATTGAGTCATGCTGTATGCTTTCTTGTGCAAACACCTCACTTTTCTATAAATTAAATCATGCTTTTACTTCACAGTTGTCTGTTACTTTGTGGTCTTTCAGTACATGTTTGTGTTTGTATCATGAAGAATGTGCAGGGGGGAAATCTGTACAAATATGTTTGCATGGCACTGTAATTAGTATTTCAAGTTTCTTTGGGAGATTTCCATGAGGTCGCACCATTACTCCTAAGATAAAACGAATTGCACACGCAAGATACGTTACAGACACACTGGCAACTATCAAGTGGGTGGAACAGCTTCCATACCGCTACAACCCAAGGCCTGTCCTAACTGTTGATGAATCCTTCCATATCTGTAATGATACTGTGTTTTACTATTGATTCACTGATTACTTACCTCCATCTCCATCAGCAGCAGTGATCAAAGTTATGTATCATGTTTGCTTTGAAACCATCAGATTTCTACTCCCCCACATTGTCTGAATCAGGATTCATCCAGGACTGAAGGAGGATCAGACTTTGAATTTGATGCATCCGATCTGATATACATTATTATGAGGCCCTGGCCTTATGATTATTGAGCCACTGCGGTCAGAGAGAAGGATCTCTGGACTTGGGGGTGCTGTCAGTGTTCATCAGCCGTACTTGACACAGATCCAGATTCGTTTTGAACTCAGCTCAGTCTTGCACCAATACGTGTGCCAAAGCAAAGGAAGATGTCAAACAAGAAAGTTGCGCTGTGTCTCAACCTACATCATCTGTCTTTAAAACACTAATAATGCGGCTGAAAACATATTGCTTAAAGGCGCTACACCCGTTTCTGCAATGTTTGAATGTTTAGCACCGCCCCCCAACTCGCTCAATGGCTTCTCATTTCCCCTACGCTCTCATAACATAGAGCCATCTAGCTCAATTTGCGATCTGACATGTACGCTAACATTAGCATTAGCGCAACTTCTTGTAAGCTCAACAACAATCACTGATGAAATGGTACTAAAGCAACGCACTGCTAACACAATATATAAGTAAAAGAATACCGCTAGTTTCGCGTCCGAATGTATTAATTTAAAACCTTAGAATATATTCTAATATTTAATTATAATGTGTTATAGAGCTCCTCAAAGCAGCAGCAGCAATTCTTCCGATCATTTTTTCTTGATAACAGAACTCTCAAACCAATAATGACCGAAGCCCCAATGCAACCTCTGTTTGTAATTCAGGTGTGTAAAATACTGCCATTACTCTGCAAGTACAACAAGCTATCAGCGCCTATCACGACTACACACTTGTGTAGAGAAGCCAACAAAGCTAGCGGAGCTAGCCACGCTCAATAAACAACTACATATCTATCAATCAACACCATTAAACATCAATCGGACAATACAGTACACATATACATCCTTAACACACATGCACGGATGATTTCAGAATTTGCTGTTAACGTTTTCATGACAAAAATACTGTTAATGTGACAAAAAGCGATTGCGAAAAACCCGGAAGTTACCATGAAACAACTAGCTAGCTTAGCTGTTACCTGCCTAGCACGTCCCGGTGAAACCTTTGGGAGCTAACTATTTTATTTGCAGTCATTAAATACATTTCGAATTACAAGGGTTGTCTAATATTTGTTCACATTTTTTTATTCAATTATTTTGTTCATCATTTTTTATTTTAGAATTATATTCGAATTTTGAAGTCGAAGCCCTGGTGTTAAGCAGCGCTGTAGAGGCTAGAGGACGCAGGCTGGTCGCTGCTCGTTCTGTGAGCGGAGGAGAACAAGCGGCCCGCTCAGACTCTACTCAGCACTTTTCACTGCTTGTAATTCTTACACAGCTGAATCAATTACCTCAAGTTTTCAATTAAATGATGTATTATGATACAACTTGTATGTAGTAAAAAGCATTTTTATGAACTACTTAGAAAAAAAATCGGGTATAGCTTCTTTAAGTATAGTCTTGTGTGTGAACCTCTCGGCTGTGAAGCGGCAGTCAAGTCAACCCATGAGCAACCTGAGCAAGTTTGGCTGAGTGAGGGTGGTCTTCTCGTTTTCACTTTTCTGTCTGAAAAAGCTGAGCTAAAGCCGTGTCAGAGGCCAAATAGACAAAACCTAACAAAAACCATGTTAAGAGTGAAAAACTAGTTAGAATTGTCTAAAATATATTCACCTTTCAACTATTTGAAAGTTAGGTAGCCTGGCCAGTGAGAAGGAATTCCACATCACCATCAAAACATCATCCAAATGTGTTGCATATGTGGAGATCTTGGCACACTCACCCCTGCTTGAGACGCTGCTCGGGCCACTCCTCGTGACACACTGGGATGGCAAAGGTCTCAAAGCTGATCTCACGCCGTCGGTTGATGACAGCCAGCGGTGCACACATCAGCGAGGACACTGCCCACACCACCGCCACCGTGAGCAGGATGCGTCTGCGTGTGAACATGGAGCGTGCGCGGAGGGGCGAGCGAACACTGTAGTACCGGTTCACGCTGATCACTGTCAGGGTCAGGACGCTGGCCGAAACTGAAATAGCCTGGACCAAGGACATATGGGGACAGGTTTTAATCAAAGTATTTAACTTAATCTGGACCAGAACTGAAAAAAAGGTGTGATTACAAAAAGCAAATACTATAACTCAGTAGCAGACCGTGATAGAAGATTGTGAATGCTATGACTATGAGAAACATGAAACCCAATTCTGTAAGACTGGACTGTGTACTTTCAGCAGCAAAAAGAAGTTTGTTTCTAGCTTGCTTCATTCTCCTGTAATTGCCAGTCGACAAGAGGGAAGTGTGACAGAAAGCACCAAAGAAAAAGTTTGTGAAAACAGACGAACCTTGCAGAAAAGTGAAAGTAATCCTATTTAGTTTAGCTTTAGTGTCTCCTCAAACATGTCCAGAATCTTACATGTTAGAAAACAGCAACAACAAGTTATGAGAAAGTGTTTTTGATGCAAAGTAATGCATTTTATGGCACACACATCCATATCCACAAAGTGATGCTCGAATATTTCAAAAAGTACTCATCCAAAAAACCTCAAAATGTACATATTGAAAGTAGAGCCCATGACAAACTATGGCAGAAAGAATGGCCAGTATTCATCCATTAGGTGGCGCTATATTTATGTCAATAAGAGTAAATTACAGAATAACAATGAAAATTACAACAATATAAATTACATTATAAATGACAGTAAAGGGTATAGGGCGACAGTAGCTCAGTTGGTAGAGCACTGGCCTTTGAGCCTGAAGGTCGTGGGTTCAAGCCCACCATGGGACCTTCTCCACCGACTCCCACTGATGACTGCTGTCGTTGTGTCCTTGGGCAAGACACTTAACCCTGCATTGCCTGAACCCCCCGCTGAAAAATCAAGGCTGTATTGTCACTGACAGAGCAGCCGTCCTCCTGTGGACTCACCACCTGCAGAGGATCAGTGAGGGGCTGGTGCTAAGTGAATTGGGTGCAGCTCTGACTGCCACCCCCCTGACCCAGAAATGGATTAAGGGGAAGAAGATGGATGGATGGATGACAGTAAAGGGGCGACAGTAGCTCAGTTGGTAGAGCATTGGCCTTTGAGCCTGAAGGTCGTGGTCCACCGTAAGACCTACTTCCCACTAAACATCCGACGTCCACTCAACCTCCAGATCACGTCAATATCGCGTCGGTCGGTCGTGACCTTTTATTTACGTCCAAACGACGTCTGTGCAAGGTGCGCATCTGGACGTAAAACAATGACCTCCCATATACGTGGATATGACGTTTGATGTACATTTGACTGTCTTGCTGTTTTTTGTTTTGCAGTTTTTTCTGTGTTTGAAACTACAAAGCACTGTTATAATTTTAACATACATTTTCTGTAAAGTAAACTATCTGGTTAGTAAAACTTCAACTGAACCATTATGTTAATTAAACTCCGTTGATGGTTTTTCAACTTACGTTTTTTTCACAGTCAACTTTTTACAGACATTTTTCAGTACATTTCAATAATTTTTTACAGTGTATGTATAGTTTATATATTATTTAGTGCTACTTTGAACCGAGAATATAACACCATATTTTCAGTTGATTCCTTTTCTTTTAGGTATGTACATAATTCAGTTTTGATGCATTCAGTGTGAATCTACAATGTTCATATTCATGAAATAAATAAAAAAATCCATAAATTTTGGTCTGTTACTGTACATACATATATACTTTGATGAGCACTTACACTTTCAACATGTCTTTTGTCGTATTGAATTTATTTTATTGATTTGACATGACATGCTATAATCAATCATGTATGAAATATGTATTCGTTGTGTGTGCGTGGGTTGTGTGTATGTGTGTGTGTGTGGGTATGTGTGTTGTTTGTGTGTGTGTGTGTGTGTTGTGTGTATGTGTGTATGTGTGTATGTGTGTGTGTGTGTGTGTAAAACAAGTAATGAGCATTTACAAACCGGGGTCTACCAGTGTGCTGACCTGATCCTTGCTGCAACTGACTGAAGTAGTTGGTGCTCCCCCTCAACCCTGATTAGCATTTGTATAGCTCACAGCATTCCATTATACATGTTAAAGCCTCTGTGGCAGGAGAGGAGGGGACAACAATAACTACCGTTCACAACAGCCGAATCCCAGAAGTTTACAGTAATATACAGAGGCCGAAAAGAGACTCGAAAATCACTCTTTTAATGCAGTGTGTACGCCGACCTTCTTCTCTTGTACCAAAACGCTCCTTAAAGTGGTTAAGAGTACCTGGAGGACCTCTTAATAACCGAGTTGGGTAATTTTGGGGGGCGTCACAACGTCAAAATCTCCCTACTCCAGTCCAATAGTGTGTGTGAGGAAAAAAAAGTTCGGCGGTCTCCGTCTATGCTGTGATTTCAGAGAGTTAAAACAAGAAAATCTATCCCAGACCGTCATCCTTATCCCTCGTATACAAGTTATGTCTTTACATTGACAGGGAGTCTCATGGTTTTCGGTATGGATAAGGGAAAAAGCCGATCACCAGGGCTATCTGGAGGTGTCAAGCCGTCCATCACCGCGTTTATCACTCCATGGCGGATGTTTAATGAGTGGGTGAGAATCCGTTTGGGCCTATCCTCCGCTCCTGACCGAATTCCAAAGGTCAATGGAAGAGTGTTTGGTGGGGCTAAGAGATGATGTCTGCTTGCCTTACTTGACGATAACCTGGTTACACTCAAAAACTTTAAACGTCACCTTAATGATTTGAAGAAAGTCGCTGCTGCGTCTATGAGAACCATGGTTTAACACTAGCAAACATGGCGAGGTGCATTGGCACTTCACCTAAAAAGCCCACCACCCCTTTGTGCCGCAGAATGACTCCAAGGATTGTAGCTAACAAATCTAAAATCACCTGTGATACGGCCATCTTTGTTATGTATATAAGGCCCATTATCACAGGGCCTGAGCTGAGTTGATCCAACCACTTTACTTTGTCTTCTTCGGGAGAGGGAGGATCTGAGTTAAAATGAGTTAAATTAGTGTCATGCTGACTTTAGTTAAAAAAAATAATGGAAAATAATAAAGTGAAATTGAAAGAAAACAAAACGAGCAACGTCTTTCAATGTACTACTCTTTACATTGTTTACAAAAATTAATATGCTACTTACTGTTTTTCTCAGTGTATTGGTGCATTTATCACTAATTATTCACATTTGCACGACAGTTAGTGCATTTTATCAGAACATTTAGTACAAACTGCAAAACCTTGGGGATAACCTGCAAAGTGCATACTTCTCAAAATGAAAAGTTATTCCTCAAAAGTCAAGTCTTCATGTCGAGGAAAACTGTGTCTCAAAATAATAAGTCTTAACAAAATGGGAGTATGAACAACAGTCATTGTCTTCGTCACGTTTTCATTGTGTCACTTTACTCTCTGTGTTTTCAAAGCAAATAAATCTGATCTTGATGAGCACTGTTCCAGCTGAAAACTACAGTTAAAGTTACCAACACAACTGTATTTAGTGAGTGTAAAAGAACATTTTTACTGTATGTACTGTATGTGTGTGTGTGTTTGTGCATGTTATGTATTTACGTGTGTGTGTGTGTTTGTGCATGTAATGTGTTTACTGTGTGTGTGCTGGAAATTTCTCGAGGAGGAGTCACTCATAAAGTTACCTTTATGCGGACGATTTACTGCTGTATGTTTCCAAATCCTCTGTGTCATACCTTGGCTGCTCGAAGTACTTATCAGTTGGCAGTTTATCAGGATACAAATTACTATTCAAAGATTTTTCTGTCTATCCTTGTTAGGTGGAATTTAGAGCGTCATGTGCCCGGCCTAACCCGCCCCCACAGGGACCAGGCACTGGGGCTGCGTAAACATTCGCCCCAAAGGGGGGGGACCACCCCACAGGCTACATCTAAGGAACAACAGGTCGACCAGGGGAATATCATCGTCCGGTGACCATAAGTGTCAACCAGAGCAATAAAATTTGACCTCATACCAAAGGGATAAAAACATCCTTGCCCCTTTTCTGGCTGGCGAGATCAGAGATCAAAAACTCTGCTTCTTACTCCCGAAGACATTCCTGTCTGCTGGACAATCGACGACTCACCACGGCGTTTCTGGACGCCCCCCTGTGGACACTGGACATTTCACACCCGAGGAGGACACGCGATATCAGGTCAGTTTGCGTACAATATTTGTTGATAAACGTTACGGGACCTTCTCGTATGTGTCGTTGTCTGTGATGTAAATGCACTGTGTATCGGTATTGATTATGGACGTCAGGATGTCTGTGTGATGTGTATTTTGCCTTGTAGCAATGTCTGTCAGGGAGACGCACAGGGATGACGTCATGGACGCGCCTCCTTTGGGACATACTAAAGCACAAGCAAAATCAGGGATATTTCTCTTGGTTCCCCCCTTGAATCACCGTAACGGGCCTCCTCCTGGGGTACGTGTCTTACACGGCCCGCCTGGTAAACCACGTAGGCCTCTGCACCTCCGCGAGGACAGCCCACGACCCGCTGTCAGGAGTACTCAGCTATCTCCATCAGCACCTTCCCGGACTACGGAGGGCTCCTCACGCACCGCTATTTCTAGAAAGGCGAAAGTGTGTGTGGAATTAAAGTTCTTGGTCTCGAGTTGTTGGCTTCCTTCTTCTCTCCGTTAGGACAAAGGAACACGCGGACTGCCGGCCTCGCCCCTAATCCATCTCCATTTTCATCCTCATAATTCTTCACTTTTCTCCAACCACTTTCCCTACTATACGGTCTGCCCAAAGTAAGACTGTTCTTTGCTCCACGCGTTATTGTGTGATTCATGTGATATGCATAACATCTCCGTTAATGTGAACCAAACCCTTTTCGTTGTTATTTTCTATTTCTTTTGGTTGTCAATAAAACCCACGTTAATCTTTAACTCAAGATCAGGTTAAGCGTCCTGTTTTAATCTTTTGATATCCCTGCTGATTTCGTACTCAAATACTATCAATTTGTAAGACTGGTATCGAGGCAAATACTGGATCTGTTGCAGTCTTCACTGTCTGTGGTTGCCCAAAATAAATAAATACAGTTCCCCTTTTGTGAACGGCGAGTTTC